TTACACTAAGAGGGGGGGGGGTGTGTTGTATTTGGGTTCTTAAAGAGAACGCGGTAATTTACTCATATATAATTGTTTAAAGTTTAAGTAAGAGTTTTTTTGGCACCTGCAACACAAACAAGTGCCGAAGATAGAAGGTGTCTTTAGTGTGAATAATACAAACAAAAAGAGGAGAGAAAAGGACGATACGTGTCTCATAGGAAGGAAGAGCAAACCATCTTCTTCAGAGCAACAAAACCAATCATCCACTTGTAGTTAATTGTTGTCTCGAATCCTCTTAATTTTAGTTGCCGGTCTTGGGTTTTACTGCGTATTCTGTTTTTGCAATGACAATCCTGTTGGGGATACAGAGCAACTTGCGTGAGAAAGTACTTAATATGTATTGTGCTCGTTTACATTCATGGCAAATAGGCCTAAATTACATACATGTATCGTAGTTAAAATGTGGTACCTTAGGATTAACAGGGCAGATTGGGTGTTGTGCCGTATCGGTAGATCTAGAATCTACTTCGTTCTACCTGGTTCACCTGTTTTCAAAGTTCTCCATTGAGTTCCATTTTTGTCATTTATAAAATAGAGTTTATTTCCACGTCCGTTTGTTTGTTCGTTTGGCTGAATGATTGTATGTTTGTTCGTACTTTCGTTTAAATAGGCTAAATAGAAGCAAATCGACATAATAATAATCACTTAGGGCTGGGAAAAGGTAAGGCATACAGACAAAAACAACAGAAGGAAAGTAAAGAAGTAGGACCAGTGGCGCCCTCCAACCACTCGCTCTCCAGGTCTAACTTCAGAGTTGAGGATTGGTCGAGCTCTGGTCGCCTGTCAGGTCGCCTGATACAAAACTTTCGCGGCAAGAAAAGGGATTGCGATTTGGGATTTCCCGTTGGCCGAGGCCTAGAATGTTCAGGAGAAAGTCTGATAATAATATGGAAGCTTAGTACTGCGTAGTTTAGGAAAGGTGGTACGGGCCTTCAACCTTCAACCTGTGACCTTTGATCTCAGCACTGAGACGTGGCTCGTACAGTAACCTACATATTACAAGGCAGCTGAAAGACCATAATAAAAATTATTTGCTGACGTTTTGTTCTTGGTCGTTTAAAATTCTCTCTAAATTAGTTTTCATTTTGCTTCGGGGCTCTTATCGGTTAATCTATATTGTTCCAAAGGCGAGCACTTCTGAAAGGGGTACCAAAAACAAGTAAGGAACAATGAAATGATCTTAATGGAGACGACATACATAGCATGGCACCAAATACACGTGACACTCTTGTGCATTTGAGAACAGAGGCGCGAGAATTATTTGACCACAAGAATAATGCGGGTGGTTTGAAGGTGCCTTTGCCAGATGTATTTCTTTGTTCTTCGAATGTTTTTGTGTTTGTTGTTGTTGTTGTGGGGGGGGGGGTTATTTCTCTTCCTTCAGCCTCGTTTTTTTCCAAGAGCTGAATCATAACCTTTTTGGGGGTCTATGTGCTTCTCTTTACACTAGCAAACAAGAATTCCTGGAGCATGTTGTTGTAGTGCAGTGGTGCGTAACAAAATAATGTTATGTTCTGCGCATTTATCTGGCTGTTTTGATTGCCTTTGAGGAAACAAACTGACAATATAATGATCATTTATTATCTACTGTAATGCCAACTTCAGAGAAACTCAACATCATTGCTTTTGGTGGCCCAGCCAATTTGATGTCTTCGTGAATTACGTCATGGGTTATAACATGTGTGTTCATATGAGAAGATTCCATTAAGCCCTAAGTTAAAGCAGCTGATTCAGCTGCAGTTCTTGGGTTTTGGGCTTACATGTGGTATAAAGTAAAAAAATATTAAATGAGTACAACGTGAGGAGAAATGGCGAGGGCAGTGGCGATTTTTGAACAATTGAGAGTCTGTGAGAAAAACAGAGACGTATCAATTTAATGGTGGTTCGGAATTCAAACCCAGACTTTAACTCATGCCTACAGGCTCTTGAGTGTTGTGTAATTTACCTGTGCAGCACAACCAAGCCTACGCCTTCAGGCCCCATAGGCCTAAGTAACATTATCAGCTTGCCGTGGCCAATAGCACAATAGCTGTCTGAAATCACTGAAGCGCAGGCCTTTCTTACTACTGTAAGACTTAGTCTATTTGACAGCAAACGGTTAGCTTGATTGATTTGGAAAGGGAAGCAAGTCCGAGGAGTGACTCCCTTTTACCGTCGACAGTGGAGGAAAGTATATTATTAATGCATGAAATAATAAATATAATAATA